GGATTGATAGAATGCACGACGAGAGACACAAACAAACCTAAATCAATCCTCATTTATGTACATCCTGCCGTTCGTTTGCTTTTGCTTGTATTACTCTTTGGGAGCCTTTCGTGCGACAACCAAGCTTCTCCGTAGTTTGAGCTGGCATCGGCAGGAACTATCGTATGTGCGTTCGTGTGCGGTTGCTCTTGTCATTCTGCAATGGGTGTATATAGCTAGTCATCAGCTTTCGTCTTTTGACCTTCGCGGATTGGTACATGTATGCATAGCTGCCGTGAGGCCGACTCGACTCGTGGAGCAGCCAGTCCTACGGTACAGCTTGCACTACTAGTACTATGTTTCGAATGTGCAAGTACTCCTGCGAGTAAATGATCTCTTTTAGTTTGCTACTACTTGTATCCATGTATCCTAAGTTCCGCCACACTGATTTGCTAAGGGGTCTGGTCGCTGAAGCGAACATGCCCCAAAGTCGGCGACAATATTATGATGAAAATGCTTCATGCTTCTTCTTCTTCCATGTATCCTAATTTTCCGCCACACGATTTGCTAAGGGTTTTCGTGCTTCTTTCTTCGTCTTCTTCATTCAATCTAAGCTCAATAGGCACCAGCTACGCCCTTATCCTGGGTTGCCAAGACATCAAAGACACAAGAGTCTAGGTTGCTGGGATCAACCCTGCCACAGGCAAGTTTGGCAGCTTCCATGGTCATTTTGGATTCTCCAAGTCGGCGCTTGCGAGATTTCATGGTGCTCTCGGAGGGCATGGCGCATTCTTCAGGCGCCTGGACGGTGCCCAATTCGGAATGGAACAACATGGGTTCATTCAGTTGAACCTGTTGGAACGAGCAGCCATCGTGTTAGAGAAACAGCTTCGCGGAGTTTTTTGTCAAGTCGACTTTTCAAACAATATTACTACTTGCCTGCCAATGTTTTCCAAATTCAATGGGATCTTCAATCACCGTCGTTCCATCGCGAGCGACCTTTCTTCCAGATGGGAAGGCACCCATCAAACCCAGAGTGCCAGAAAAGTGCTCTTCCTTATTGGCCTTCACGTTGACGGCAATCCAATCTTTGTATGTTTCCAAACTGAGGGCATCCCCCTGAAGGTTTAGATCAATTCGAAACTTGTGTTGAACGGCACTGATGTGCTTGTAGTGAACCTTGAAACCGGGAATGATGGATGCCAATTTCGTCTCGAGAGCTTCTACAGCGGTTGAAGTGCCAGGCACACCATTCACCCAATACACAGGATCGTCTCCATTGGAGCCCCCGGTCAGTTCCAGCGATTGGTCTCCTAGCTGGATGACAGCGCTCTCAATATAGGACCACCAATCAGTGATCTTGGTGCGAATATGAATAGTGAGGCCCAATTCGTTGGCAAAGAAAGGGTCGGAGAGTAATACAAGGTCGCATTGGCCGTGGAAGTCAAACTTCTCACCACTTTGGTAGAAGCAAGTTGACAATTTTAATGTGAGTGTGGGTGCAAGGCATGGCAATCAAGCAGCCAGGGTTTCTTACGTCCAAGTCTTGAAATGTGGATCACCATTGCTAGACGCTGTCTTCGCTGGCACATTAGCAGGTGTGGGCGCTTTCGATGGTGGAGAAGTAGGGGGGGGTGTGGGCGCTTTCGTTGGCGGAGAAGTAGTCGTCACGTAGATCTCGATGTTGTCAATCAAGGTGTAGTAGCGGCTTCCTTTGAAATGAATTCTCAAATTCGTGTGTCCCTTGGTATCGAAGGTTGCTTGAACTCTAGTCCATTTGAACTCCCACGATGTCGAAGGGGCTGTACCCGTTACAATTTTCGAGTCCACCCGCTCCCAGCCCTGGTTGATGGTTGCAGCGGTATTGCAAGATCCGGTACATCCATTGCGATCATCATCTTGAAGCAACGTGAGAGTCATGGTGGGAACATCAATCGTGCGATTCGTATTCGCATTGTTCTCGCACTTCGGAGACGTGATCATCTGGGCCATATCCATCTCGATAGTGAAGAACTCTTGGCCGGCAATGCCATTAAAATCCTTTTCAAGAGATGCAGCACGTGACATACAGCAACAACCGTTAGTTAGGGAAGAGTGTTGGCACTAGCACAACACAGAAAAGGAACCGCTACAATGTACGTACCAAAGTCAGTTCATCATAGTTTGCCGCTCCAATCGAATACTTGCCGCCCGTTCCAGGAGGAGTCTCATAGTAGGTCCCCAGTAGTGAGTTGTCCGTACCCTTAAAAGGCTGGCCGCCGGAGATCGTGTTGACCTCAACTGTGTTGACTTGCTTGAATTCACCAGTACCATGAGTCGTCTGTGAATAATCCGGTCCTCCTTGACCTCCATAGACAGGATTTATATAGGGGTGAGCGGTGCCCACCCAGGTGCATCCATCGGTGGTCTGAACGGGGACATGACCCGAAATTGGGTGCTCGAAATCGTTTTTGTATAACACAGTCTTGCCGGTGTCAGCAGCTAGGACTGCAGCCGGCAAGTAAGCCAAGGCAATAGCAATGGGCAAAAAAAGCTTCATGTTTACGTCTGTGGCTGGCTGGCTGCGCTAGAAGAGAGAGTACACGATTGACAGGGGGTAGAGAGCACTACATACAGCCTGTGCATATGAACAGGGAGGATAGGATGCCTGCAGATTGAGAGCAAGGCCAGCCATTTTTTTGGCCTGAATTCAAAAACGTCCAATTTCCTGTGCAATCGAACAGGATAGCGACGCCTGTTCAATTGCACAGGAAATGGACGGCCTGTGCAATCGAACAGGATGGCGACGCCTGTTCAATTGCACAGGAAATGGACGGCCTGCCTGTTCATATGTACAGGAGGCTGTACATACATATCAGGGTGTGGTACTCGCACTGTTTTAGCATGTGAGTACGGGTACTGAGTAGTACTCAGAATCCTGGAAGTGAGTGAGAACCGGTACTAGGTAGTACTCAGAATTTCTGAGGTCAAGTGGGTACAGGTACTATGTGAGTCCAGGTATTTTTTGGGTACTACGGTATACTCACTGAGTACTCATATACATGTACCAATTACTTAGAGAATTTATCTTTGCAATTGGGCCCAAAATGAGAAAATAATGATCTTTTTGCTGTTTCGCGGAGAGAAAGTACCCACCAAGTACTCACAAAGTACCTATTCAGTACTCATGGTACTCGGTGAGTACTGATCGAAAGTACTCATCGAGTACCCACCGAAGACTCACAAAGTACTCGGAATCTAGAGGTGAGTGAGTACGGGTACTGAGTAGTACTCAGAATTTCGGAGGTCATGTGAGTATGGGTACTGAGTAAGCCCAGTACTCAGTACCCGTACTCACATCGAGTACCCGCAGCAGGTACTCACGAATCGAAACCCAACCCTAAATTAGGGACGGTTTTTCAGAAACCGTCCCTATTTTTAGGGTTGGTTTCGAAGCCCGACCCTAAAGGGAATCCGACCCTAAATCCGACCCTATTTTAGGGTCGGTTTCATGCACGATTGAGGAACGCTCCTGCTTTCTCGCAGGCTGAGGTACCATATTTTGTCAACGCTTGTCGTGCTTCTGGCTTTGTTGTACGACTCAGGGGTTTCGGGAAATCAAAAGGTATTGCTGCCTTCAGGAGTTTCGGGAAATCAAAAGGTATTGCTGCCTTCAACCAGCATGCAGAAGCACGTCCGATTTCCTGTGCAATTGTACAGGATCCAACCTCCTGTACAATTGCACAGGAATCACGTCGATACGACCTCCTGTACAATTGCACAGGAATCACGTCGATCCTGTACAATTGCACAGGAATCACGTCGATCCTGTACAATTGCACAGGAATCACGTCGCCTGTACAATTGCACAGGAATCGCGTCGCCTGCCAGGCCAAAATTTGACTGCAGGCTGGCTCTCTAAAAATCCTGTTCATATGCACAGGCTGTATGTAGTGCTCTCTACCCCCTGTCACGTCGGTTCATACGAACATGTGCCGGTGGCGCTCGGGTACGGTGGTACAAGAAGAGATTCACTAACGATGGGACCGCCATCTTACAGCTGTACCTTTTCGAAAGTTCTTTCTCTTGGCTTCAAAATACCGGTAGGTTGAAAAAGGTTGCTCCAATAACGAGATTGTGAGAGGACGCGTGATGCGAAAAAGCAAGGACTTCTTGGTTTTGGATAAGATCCCAATGACTGACTCTTGAAAGATACCAAACAAAACATACCAATTCCACAAGGATTCTACGACAGAGAGGAAAAGAGCTGGAGCAAAGATACCAATGACCCTGTTCATCTGGAACGGCAGCTAGCTAGCTAGCTAGGAGTTCATCTGTTCATCTGGAAAGGCATCTTCCACCGGTGCGTAGAGTTGTCCGAATGGAAGATATTCTGGCTGACTGGCTGACTGCAAAAGATTCATCAGCCAAAAGGCAAGTCATGATCAAAGATATGCTCGGCGGCAAATGGTGTGGGTCGGAAACACCACTCCATCGGTGCCTGGAGTTGTCCGAATGGAAGAGTTTACTATGCAGCCAGCCAGTGACTGCAAAAGATTCATCAAAAAGTGAACTCCTGATCAAATGTATGCTCGGCGGTCGCCTTTGTTTTATCAGACTGCTTGCTTTCAGTAGGTCTATTGCCGTCACCTTTGCTCTATCCTCTTTCCTCTGAATCTTCCGATACTCTTTCCAGGGCGGAGGTTCGACCCATGCATGCATGCATGTCGTGGTTGTTGTGATTGGAGTCGAGTCAATCAAATAGTGGCGTGGAAAGGTTTTCCGTAGCGTGGAGAATAGAAGGAACATCTTCAGCATGGGTGGACGATGACAATAATGTATGTGATGCGACCGTTCCGGTATTGGTGTGGTCACCAAGAAGAACAAACGCATGACAACGCTTTGTCTTGATGATACGACACGTATGCACTGTGTGAGAAAAGCACACCGGTATGGACGTATGGACCATTCATTCAAATGTTTCATTTTTCTCTCCGTACCGGTACCACACCACTAGCTAGTAGCTAGAATCAACCAATGACTTTGTTTTCGTCTGCATCCTCCTCTTTCACAAGGCGTAGTGTATCCCTGGATACCGTGGGAGTGGTAGTAACTCTTTCAGGATGTGTAGGCTTGTTGGTGAATGCCGATCGACGAGGACGAGCGCCATTGCGTGGTGCCGTGCCGGCACGAGATGGAACTGCAGCCCATCGAACATTTACAGCCCAACAGTCTCGAGAATTGGAGCGCAAGGGGTTTCTGATTGTCGACAATTTTCTGACACCACAACAAGTGGCAGATGCTCGACATGCCATTCAACTCTTGGACGACAAGCGACAGTTCCGAGCCAGTCCGGATTATGATGTGCCCGATCATCATCATGATGACAATGACACTATTATCTATGATGAAATCAGCACGGAACCACGAACGCGAGATCGAGCCCTGATCAATCGAACGGGAGTATTGGATCGCATTGTGAGGCACTCCTTTTCGGAATTTGCCACCTCGCTGGTCCACTCTGACTTTCAGGGTTTTCCAACACGTAATGGCAAGGGCAAGGATGCCTATCGAACGAGTATCTTGTACATGCCCGCACAAATGCAAGTCAACATTTGTGGTGGAACAACAGAAGAAGAAGACACTGCCAAAGCTGTGGCTATTACAAAAGCATCAACGTACAATTTTTATCACAAGCACTTGGACTCCGCGGGTGCCACTCATTTGGGAGAATTGGGCTTGATTGGATGGCTTCGTTCGCAACACTTGCGGGAACGGTACCTTACGTGCATTGTGTACTTGAATCCAGACTGGAAAGAAGGGGATGGTGGATGTCTCCGGATGTATGACTCCCCAGATCAGCAGAAACAAGACGATTCCTATCTGGATATACAACCACTATCGGGACGAATGGTGATATTTTCTTCATCGGCACAAGTACACGCCGTTTTGGCAACCAAGGCACAACGCTATGCATGTGCCGTTTGGTTGGCACTCAAAGACAAATGAATGAATATATCTTTTTGATGAATGGGTAGATCCCTTAAAAAAGTTGCAGGGCGATATTTGCTAGCTCTGAACCATGTCGGGCAACACGGCCGTCTTGAAGCTCTTAAGCATTTTCGAATCGAATCGTGCTGCATGCAGCATTTGTGACGGCATCGCAGGGCATCCTGTCTTCAGAATGTAGGGTTGCCTTTGCCTTGGAATAGAGACCATACGGTACTCATCGTCCTCATCCGGAAGGATCGGAGTCTGCGCCTCCTGCATATCGAGTGATCTTCTAGAGCGATGATGCCACTCCCTCCCCCCCTCACTGTTTTTCGATTACCGGTACCCAGTTCGTCGTGGATGTGATGGGCTACATGTACCTACATTTTGGTGCACTTTGCGATCCCCACCGACCCATTCGAGGTCCTCGCAGGTGTGAATAGACGTATTTTTTTTTCAAAGTGTTCTTGCAACGATTGTGTGACTTTAGCAGCAAAGGCGCATTCAACCACATGGACCCGTGTTAGCCATAGAATCTTTAGTGGACCTCCAAACGTTGCTGAACCCATGCATCGTGCTCGCCTTGCAAGAACTCGGCTGCAGACACCATGCATCCTGGCTGCATGATGTCGACTCGACTCAGAAGCAAACGTTTCAAAACTCCCGCACAAGCTAGCTCCAACAGAGTTCCCACCATGAGATCCGCCGGGTACAGATAGAGAGAGGTTGCTCTGCATGCGGGCAGCTCTGCATGGGCAGGGTTGCTGCCCTTGCGCCGCGTATTCGTGCCTTGCTGAGAAACTTTCTTCATCAGAATGAACTCGGCTGCTACGAAGTTGACAGCGGGATCCCTCTTTTCAATTACAAGTCCTTCCCGTGGAGGCAAGACGGAGCTTTGCGGTTTCTGGTCAGAGCACTTCCATCCAGCATGATAATCATTGTCAGGACAGGAGTGTCTCACCAAGACGTCCATCACTGTCCAAATGGCGGCAGAGACCTTCATGGAAGAAGCATGGCAATGCCGCAAGCAGCTTTGCCCTATCACGTGTCGACGTGGGACTGTCCTGTCCCTGGAGTCTGAACTATGTGTGCCCTGGGATCGTTTGATCTTTTTAGTACTATCAGTTGCTTTGGTACAGATATGCTTTTCTCGAAGCTGTTGGACCTGTCTTTGCTTCTTGCCAATGCATCAAAAAATCCAATCACGTGGGTTTGGGTTCATTGGAGCATTTTCATTCTCGCACCGTCTTATTGGTCGAAGGCAAGAAACGTTGATGAGATTGAAAGCGATACAATCATGGAACAACGAGCCCACAATTTCGATTGAAGCACGCCCAGAGTTTTTTGCTTTGACGCATTACTATTGAAGTTCTTCTCGATCGCATTCCCCTTCTTCTTTCCACTTTGAACCAGCCATGGCCGCCCCTGAAAAGATATTCAAGGAGATTGTCGATCAACTACCGGAACCTGATCAGCATGTGTTGCTGCGTGAGCACAAGATCACCAACCTTGCGAAGCTCATGGAGAAGAAAATGGAATTCGAACAGTTTCAAGTCGAGGGCGTCTTCGATGCAGTGCAGGAGTTTCTTGCAGTCGTATGCCAGTATCTTTCCAGTCTCGATGATGAAGTGGGTGCCTTCTCGTGGGAAGGATATGAAAAGTTTTGCGAGTGCGACGACACCAGCGGCGACTATCAGCTAGACTTGGCTGCGGAGGAGATCCAAAAGAAGAAGGAATCTTCGAACGAAGAATCGGATCCTAAGGGTCTCGATCTGACGGCGGAAGAGCGCAAGCAGCTGCAGGATCAGATGGAGAATCAGCCACTGACGATGATGATCCGTGGTTTTTCCCAACGCACTTTACAATTTGAGACCGAGGACAAAACCATGAAAGCGGCCGAGGACAAAAGCGATAAATTGCAAGTCGCGTTCAATGGCTCTGTGTACGATGTAAACAAGTGCTACCACTACCAGCAGCCAAAAGGAAAAGTTGTCGTTGTTGGCATCCGCAAATTTACCCGAGTAAGTAGCCAACTCTGTCACTGTAGCTGATCATCTGGCTGGTTCACTCACCAAAGATCTCTTCGCTTTTCAAAAGAACGGGAAAAAGGCAATCGTTGCTCTCGTTGTTCAATTCCAAGACACAATTATGGGACCCGGGCTTGAGGAAGAGCCACCTATAGGTGTTCAGGCGACGTACGACGAAGACCAAACTGGAGTCCCCGCCTACGTTCAAGTACGCTTGAAGCCTGGATTTGAACGCATTGTACCGCTGTCTTCCCTGAAGCCTTGTTCCAAACCCTCTGAAATGCCAGAGCTCTTGTATGAGCCTCAGCAAATCAGCCAATCACCTCACAACTTTGGCTTTGTCTATGAAAACAATGGGAAGAACCGCGGAAGAGAGCGCCAAGGCGACATTGGTTTCGTTGATCTTTTTGCGGGAGCCGGTGGCTTTCATCAAGGTTTCATGCAAGCCGGTGGGTTCAAGGGAATCGCGGCGGTTGACGACTGGGATGTCGCTTGCGAGACCCTTGCCAAGAACAATCCAGAGACGAAAGTCTTCTGTCAGAAGGTCGAAGATTTTCTAGAGGAAAGCGGTCCGACTCCAGTTGAATTCGAAAAGAGGCACGGAAAAGCGCTTGCCTCCACCTGCGCCCCTTCTTGCCAATCGTTTTCGGGTATTAATCGTGATGTTGATCACAATGGCGAAAAAGATCTGTATCGCAAGAACTTGTCGCTCAAGTTTGTCGATGCTATGAAGAGATCTGGGACTCTTGTTAGCGTTTTCGAGAACGTGGAAGGGATGTGGCGTCGTCCCAACGTTTACTTCCTGAAGAAGATTGTCATTGATCTCATTCGTCTCGGGTACCAAGCTCGAGTCCGATTGTATCGAGCTCATGTCTTTGGCGACGCACAAGCTCGTCCCCGTCTCATCATTATTGCTGCCAAGAAGTTTGTGGAAATGCCTAACGTGATTGAAACTCATGGACCTGGTAAGCATCCATATGTGACTGTTGGAAATGCCTTCAAGGCTCTGGATCTGGCACTAGAAGATGTTGAGAAGAGCCCCGGTACCTTGAAGCCTATACCCAACTTGAAGGGAGCCAACTTGGATCATCCCGACAAGGAAGCTGACATTCTCAAGGCTGACAAGCCAGCTGGAACCATTCGTGGCAAAGGATGTGCCTGGCACCCCACGAAGAACCGAGCCAATACCGTTCGTGAGGCGGCAACCTTGCAATCCTTTCACTACCAGTACAAGTTTGAAGGGACAGTGACCGAACAGTACCGGCAGGTGGGCAATGCTGTTCCAGGACGAATGGCTCGTGCCATTGCCATGGCTATCAAGGAGAGTTTGCGTTTCGTCTACGATGAAGAGGAGAGCGAGAGCTTTGAGGCGCAAGTCCAAAGAGCGGAGACCACAGAAAAGATGGTTGTCGACCTTACTGCCGACGATAATGACGAAGAGGAGAAAAAGGAAGAGGCGACCGATATGAAGAAGAAAAGTGTTGCCGGAGACGATACCCCCATGGAGGACGCTGTGGCAATGGAAAACGCGGACAGCTAGAGGAAAGAAAGATCCCGGGACGATGCGGTACCAGGTACGCGGATCTATTCTGTACCACTCGTTGAAACCCCAAAAGATCAAAACATTACCACTTGAAAAAAGTATAGGAACGAGAAAACCTTATCACCATAGTATATGTAGTCGTCATATTGATGCTCCAGTATTCGTTTCTTCTGACAATCCTCCCGCATTTCTAAGTTTGGTCCCACTCTATACTCCTACTCCCACATGCTGTTCTTTATCCAGACCTACCTCTCCATTGCCCTTGTAAGCCACTAATATTATGTCTCAGCGGCTTTGCCCTCTGTTCTTCTTTGCGGGGAACGATCCGAGTTGAACATTTTACTGAGAATGACTTTCTATCATACGATAGCAACCAAAAGTAAGTGAATTTCTATCCCTGGCTTGCTATCTATTATACAGCAGTATTCTGTGTTTGTTGTTGATTTCGTTGTTGTTGTTGTTTGGCAGGTGGTAGTTCTTGTTGAGCCTCGTGAAACCATCCACTAATGGCCCATCGTTCTCGGTCGAGCGTCGCCAATACTTCATGCGGGAGTGCCACGGAATCAAACATGACCAAGGTTCCTCCCGTGGGCGCAACATCTAGTATTCCCTCTCCGACGGTGGATGCCGTATTGGCTTTGAGATTGGTGTCCATAAAATCAGTCAATTTGGATTTGGGAGGTTCCAGATAATGGAATCGATCTCCCACGGCCGGATTTTGAATGAGGACATGTTGGACGACCCAGTCACCCGTCGATAGGAACAGGTAGGGATCGGCACTGAAATTTTCCGTCAGGTAGGTTGGTTTATTGTCCATACCGATAGTATACATGGCACAATTGCCGGCTTCTCCTTGTCGTCGTCCATCCAAAAAGACGGGTCGTTCGACGGGATCTTGTCGCGTGGGTGCCAACCATCCAATTTGCAAATCTCCATGACACGCTCCCACTTTGCCGACTTGTTTGGAGACTCGAGGATACGTTCGTAAACAACCCCCATCGCGTTTTGCATTCCAATCGGGTTCATTGAGATAAACCAACCAACTGAGCGATCGTCGGGTCGGTGCCGACCAACCCCGGACCCCCTTGAGTTCTTCGTGATGTTCGTCGACGTGTCGTTTCAAAAAGGCGCCCGGTCCAAATCGCGTATAGGACAATTCGTGATTGTACATGCCATCCGGTAACGCGGCCATACCGGGACGATCCAATCCCACGGCCAATTCTTTGCGCAAGGTCGTCATGGTTGCTGTCAAATCCCGTCGTGCTTGACTATTATTGCCGAGTTGATCATTGACAAAGGGACCCAAGGATGCTTTCGAAGGAATGTAGGACGGACAGACACTGCGATCTTTGGAAACGTCGAATTGAGCCTTGTCTTTTTGACCTTTGGATTGTCCGTAATTGGCCAATGCGTCGGTGATGAAATGACCGTCATCAAACAACGAGTGGGCGTCGCTGCGGAGGGTACGAATTTCTGCTGGTGACAAAAAATTGTCCACTTGGGCAATCCCTCCACGGTGGATTGTGTCAATCACAGAATCCGGCAAATTGGCAGCCACATGGAGCTCATGATGAGATGATGGAGCCGATTTTGTCGCTTGCGAATATCCACTATTACCAGTAGAGACAAAAGCAAATCCCTTGGTTGGAAGTAGCAGCGCAATGGCAAAGCCCAGCACCAAGCTAGTAGGCCAGCTAATGGCAAGTCCACCGCTCAGACGAGTTACTGGTGTCATTGTCATGGTGGTTTGGCTTTGTTTCTTTTTGGTGCACGTGGATTGTCAATGGTGGCGCGGTGAAGGAGGAGAGCTCATTCGTGCCAAACGTATCTTTCGAAGTTGAAGTTGGGCCTGCACAGCTGTCCGCATCCTCCCACCGCCCTTCAGATTGAAACAATGCAGCCCCAGTGCACATGGGGGAATGGTTGGTAAATGAACTGTTTACTACTATCTATACTGGTAGCGGCTAGCTCGATTGTCATTTGTCACCTCTGGCTAGCTTACATTATTGGCATGTCTTTGGTGCCCCACTCAGTTGAAGTTTTGTACCTGGTAGTGTAGAAGTCCAACTTTTCTCACATGCCATATTGACAAACATGTTCCTTCTTGAGTCCACAAAAGGTCAGTAGTAATAATGAGGCCACCCCAGGTATTCACATCCTTTGTCAAAAAGTCATCAGTAGCCCAACAATAGGAACATGTTTGTCATGAAAACTTGTGACCTGCCTTGCCATGCAACATTCCACCCAGAGATGCCAGAGTACCTTGGAATTTGGTAGCCGCCAAAAAGTTGTCAATGTCAATACTTGATACATCCCAACTTGAATGTCTACCAGTGACTGATGAAGAATTAGGTTGGGTTAATTGTCAGAGGACGAAGCACCAGCCTCATTCAGTGTAGTCTCAACACTCCTGTGACTTGGTGACACGCTTGGCTCATTGCTTGGCAACATGATACGAGGCAGAGAGACTGCTAGACTGACCTGTTGGAAGGAAATCGGAACACTTGGTGGAGGTGTGCTTCAAATCTTGCTGGGAGAAAAGAAACAGGGTGCTGTATAGTCTAAGCATTTCATTCAGAAAAGAACTTGATTGGAGTTTGATTGCAGAGAGGGCACTCACTGTTGGCAGAGACAATGATAGATGAAGCATTCACCAGCTTCCTTGTACTACTAGCTAGTCAATAATAAAGCAATTCTTCATCATTTTTATCCCCAATCAACTGAATTCATTCCAGCCCATGATCCAGTCTCCAGCTGAAAGCCCACTGCAGAAAGCCCTGGCTAGAAAAGCAAGCGCGAAGAGAAACCAGTTCCAGGAGCAACGTTCGGCTCGAGGAGCAATATTACCTAGTTCCCTGGCTCCAGGGTGACCCTTCTTCACTGAGCCAGTCAGCGGTAGTACCGGTGGCCTAGTGTGGCCAGAGTGCTAGAGTGCCTAGAGTGGAGCTCCACGAATACCAAAGAATGGCCCATTGAATGGATATGTATGTGTAGCCTGGCCCCTCGCAGCCCGGCTGCGGTAGATAGCTAACTTCCTGACTTCATCTGGTACCTACAGGTAATAGAAGACGTTGCTTCGGGTGCTTCTTCCATCTTGCTTCCCAGCAACTTTATCAGTTTAGCTATTCGGGTCGAGTCGAGTCCAGTCAGGTACATACCGTTTAGCTATCTTTAGCTACGAATTCAATTGGCTGAGATGCAATGCTCTGGTCTGGAAGCAAGCTGGAGTGCTCTCCTCGCTGCTCCACCCAGGTTGCGATCCTTTAGTAGTACTCCTGTACATTGCCACATTGCCGCAGAGATAGATGCCAACCCTTGCTTGCTTTCCACCAGATGGCTTTGCTTTGGAGCTGCTATCTCATGTATCTGACCGTACTGTAATCTACAAAAGATGCAAAGCAAAAACAAGCCTCGAGATCTTGGGCATCTAAAAGCTAACCGTTGGTTCGTTTGCGCTGCGGGGCTTATCATAACTGGTTGTGGAGGTATCTTGTGTTTACATAAGAGTAACATTTTTGGGTTGATCTTTATGATTAGAGTTGCGTTCGTTAAAAGCCTCATCAATAACTCATTGTTGTGTTCTGTAAGGTGCACAAGTTCACTTGAGAAGATTGCGTCTAAGTATTCAGCAATAATGATTGAGTGATGGTAATAATCTGAGTGATGAAAAGAATAGCCCTCAAGATTACATTAAATAAAACGAGGCACCCTGAACATTGCCGACTATCCCCGATTAGGGCATGATCTTGACTCACTGGAACAACACGGGAGATCGCAGCCGAATTCGAAGAGAGACTTGCATCACATGGGAAGTGCGGAAGGGCTTTATTTTATCCAAGAGCAGCAGAACATCAACACTGCACTGCATAACCAAACAACAGTTACTCAACGTATCGCCGAAGTTACCCAGTCAAGCCTCAAATAAACTTGTAGCCAGTCAGTTGTATTCGTAGTGACCTCCATCCATCCATCTTTCCAATTCCTTATGAGTCGAACCAACATGACAACGTTAGCGACAACAACAACACAACAGAATCATCGCAGCAACGCCAATTTGGATATGAGCATTGACTTGAGCATTGCCGATCTGGACAGCATCATGGCGACGACAACAGCTCCTTCCAAATCGAAATTGTTGGACGACACGTCCTCTCAAACAACTGCCACTGTGGAAGAGTCGTTCATCAATCATCAATCGTACGGTGACTTTATGAATCGCAGTACGCTCATCCGACCGTTGGCCATGAGCGACAACAGCTGTGACAATAATATTATGGGCATGAGCAATAATAGCCGCGCCGGTGATCCTTCCATTGCCGACATTCAACAAGTCTTTGCCAGTCATACACGGATCCGTGCCATGAACAACAACAACAATAGTCGCTTCATGACAAATGACAGTAGTCGACGATCGACCATGACGGACAGTAGTCGTCGCAATGCCGCGAGCAGACGGGCCATGGCGTCGGCCATTCCCAAACTTACGACTCCAACAGCAGCAGCAACAGCAGTAATGATGCAAGAGAGTTGCTGTAGTCTAGACAGTAGTGCGGCTCGCGTAGGATCACCACAAGAACAAGACGACAACGACGAACGATTGGCCATGATGATGAAGGATCATTCGCATGGCGATGAAATGAGTCTGATGGACTTTGATACCGTCTGTTTTGCACCCGAGCCTGTTCCGAAAGATCATCGACGACGCAACGTTCCTTCCACACGACAGTGCACTACCAAGTACGCCAGAGGTTTGGGAACCTTTGCGTCCGTCGGAAGTCAAGCCATTCGAGCTGCTTCTACTACTACAAGTACTAGTACTACTCCGACTCCCTTGGCGGTGGTGACCAAGAACACCAACAAAAAGTTACTCGACGAAATCCAAAAGGCCAAGAAAAAGCAACCACCGGCCAAGCCACGACGTACCAGTAGTCGCAAGCAAATCGTGCCAACAACGGCCGAACAACAACACAAACAACAACCTCCGTCCACACGACGCCCTCGTCGTCGTCGATCCAAGAGTCCCGTCGCACGAACTGCTAGTAATCGCAGCAGTTCCAGTCGACGATCCAACAATAATAAAGAGAGAACAAGACGATCGTCGCGCGATCAGTCGCCACCTCCCTTGGCCCCATCGACGGTCAATGTCCGACGCGTCAAGTCCCACGATGAAACCAGTGGACGACACTTGTTGCGCAAGTCAACACGGCCTTCTACGACTACTAGTAAACCCCGTCGGACCAAGAGTACCGATGCCATTCCTCCCCCGCCACTGGCCCGACGCACCAGTCGTGCGGCTGTCCAAAAGTCCTTTCAAGAAGTCGCCATGACGATTGATCTCGGCAATTCCGATCATCATCCGGCCTTTGTCGACGACGATGACGATGATGATAGCAGCAGCAATAACAACAATGACTGGCAAGAGTCGGTGCGATCCAATCTCCTGCTCGACATTCAACAAGTTGTCAAGGCCAAGGAAGATACCAAGGCACGACGCAGTACCGTCATTGATTCGCTGTTGGACATGTTACTCGATGATATTGATACAACGAACAACAAAAAGACCGCCAACAAACCCAGGAAACAACGACGAAACACTGCCATGCGCAGCAGCAGTCGACGTCAGGAGTCGTCCAACAACTCGGCCAGTACGGGAAGTAGCGCTGGTAGCAGTAATCGACGACGGGCGGCGGCTAATGGTACTTCCAGAACCAAGTCGACCTGACACGACGGATGGAACTGACGGACGTTTCCAAACAGTAGACTATATTGCATAACACACAAAGAACAACACAAAAAGAGACACCCAACGACGAGGGCATGGACCAGTGGATGGGACATGATGCCAACGAACGTCGAATCAGCCTGCCTGTCTGCCTCTTTCCGTTCCATAATCACAACAAAATCCGAAACATAATACTACTAGACCATCGGAACAATACATACGTACATGCATACATACTAGAGTACATAGACTACTACCAGAAGTACATACTAGCTAGCTAGTACATCACGATTCCATGCTGATCGATTCAATTCGATTCGATTCGATTCTACTACATGTAGCTAGCTATTGCAAATGTGGATCTTTTAGTTACGATCTATCTATTTAGCTAGCTTGCTTGTTAGTTAGGAAAATACATGTTTCTTTCCATGGAGGCGGATGATGACACCGTGGCGTTGATGCATCATCATCCTTGCTTGACACGGTTGGGTAAGGAAGCACCAAACAGCCAGGAAGGAGCAACTTCGCACCTACATCTCCGGTACCGGTAGGCTGGACTGTCACTTGCGTGGTACCGTAGCTATGCAGAGGATGCCTGGATGATCGCTCCACGCAGAAACCGAAACCTACTAGTACTGTCGGAGCTGAAGGCAAACCCCAATCCCAAAAAGGAAAGAAACACTTCATTTATTTTGTGAGCTCAAGAAGAATGGTCAAAACGGCATGCTGTTTGCAGGCTTTGCAACTGTTGCTGCTCTTCAAGCAAGGGGGACAAGAGACTTTCTACAATCGGAACATCGCTCTGAACTAACTGAACTTGCCATCCATCCCAATCCATGGGATGCATTTACTACTGCCTGCGAGCGGCAGCATCGCACAAGAGAATGCAACAATAAAGAAGTTTCATGAGATGCCCCCATCGCAGTGACTGCTTGCCCGAGTGATGCTGCAGGTCCAATAAACAAAGAGAAGCCCAAGCTAGCTAGTAGATGCAAAGATGCAAACGATAGATAGCTTTGCCACTGGACCTGGACCAAGAAGGGGTCTCTTGGATCGAGTTCACGCAGGAGCCAAAAAACCTTGGATCTTTCGCATTCATTATGTACCACTCCTTGTGCCTGTTGCTGTTAGATGACCCTGCTAAGTCATACACTAAATCTCTCTGTTCTCTGGTGACTGTTGTGGCTTAATGGAGAATCTTGTCAAGAATCCCATTAAGTAATTGCTACCCAAGGATATCTAAACAAACCCCGCGCGTTGCCCCTTCGCTTGAAAACTGGTTAGACCCACAATATCCCTCACTTTTTGTCCAAGGTCCATCAATGGTTCAGATAGATATTCAGAAGAATGAATGAGGTCCCGTACCGGTAGCTACTAAAGCCGTAAAGGGCACCTTCCAGCAACGGATAGAAGTCATATCTTTTGCACACAAGCAGAGATAATTGCCCATTTTAAAAAACAATTGTAAACAAAAAAATGGTGAGACAAGGAGTCAAAACGGAAACCTCCATTAAGGATCTCAACTGTCTAGCAGTGAGCATGACCAAATCCAGTAGTAGGACCAAGAACCTTCACGACACTGCCAAAACACTCTCCACAGCCGGTCAATCGAGTCTCTCCAACAACAGTGGGAGCATCTTTGACTTTACCCCCATCAACGGCGGTAGTTCTTCACGGCAAAACAAGATGAACCTCTCTGGCAGTACGTCGCTAATGATGGCAGATGATTCCAACAACTCGTCCTTTAGCGATTTGGCCAAGCAGTCCAGCCGGCAATCCTTCGAGTCGTCGTACTTTGGCTCGTCGTTCGATGCCAGTTTCACAGCCTCCAACTCGTCCTTGGAGTGGGCAGAAGATGAAGCATTTCCCAAGTCCAGCGCCACCGCGTCCACCACCACCACAACCAATAGCAGCACCCCTGACATTTCGGATTTTGTCGTCCTGTCAGCCTTTCAAATAATAGAGCCCAGCAGTACTAACAGTGAAGCTCATCAACAAGAAGAAGGAGAAGCAGAAGAGGATGATGACGATGAGAGCCACTCGGAAGACGAAGCTTTCCAGGAGGAGGAGGACGACGACGAAGAGAGTGACGAAGAATATGAAGAAGAGTTCCCCGAGGTTGACTTTGATGACGAGGATATTACTCAGATGGCCCTGGCGGCAGAAGACGCCGAGCAATTCTTTGCGCCTTCACCACGTGATAGCGTCAAGAGAGGAGGAGAAAACCGAAGGCCCTCTTTGCAAAAGATCATCAAGCAACCCACCACCCCCGCCAAGACTCTGGAGGAACAAGCGGCGGAAACGGCTCTTTGTCAACACTTGGCACGGAGTGGGATTGAAGTCAGCTCGCAACGACGAGGGCGAGCCCGTCAAAGAGGAAGCCTCATCAAGCACCAGCCGTCTCCCTTGCTAGCACGCGGAAACTCGAGCCGATCCAGCATGACCGAGAATGATGTCGAAGGTCTACGGCAACACTGTCGTCGATCCCTCAGTCGCGTGCGTACACCCAGCCGCACGCCCTCGGTCAGTGCTCACGGTCGCGCTCCTTCGTCCAGAGGGCGTCATTTGCAGCAGCATCATGTTGCTGCTGGCCGAGACCGCTCTGTGAGCCGCGATAGAAGCGCTGCCACTGCACCCGCTCCTTTGGAAATCAGGCTCGACCGGCCACTGCTGGGCAAGGCACTTCTTGGTGACGATGACAGCGAGGAAGAAGAAGAAGCCGATCCCTGGGCATGTCCATGGATTGGCAACAAGGCCAAGCCGCCAGGTGCCATGGACCCTACCACCAAAGATTTTGAGGCACCAATCCCAGTGCTGTGCTTTATGAACGACTCGTCCCACCAAGACTCTGTCATGACACCCGCCCAGCAGTCCCTTGCATCGACCAAGAGCAGAAGGAGGCACCGTGCGTCGATTAGGGAAAAGGGGCCGACTGCTGCGGCATCATCAAAGACAAAGTCGAGGCGATCCCTGAGACCAACCAAGTCTGCCGAACAGGAAAGGGGAACAGCTCGGACTCCTCGCTCCTCTAAGCGCGTGTCTCTCAAGGACTGTTCCGCACGTTCCAACCCAGAACAGCGGACCCTGTCGTTAGAAGAGCGCCTAGGCAACCTCAAGGATGCGTCAGCTCGTTCCAATCCCGAGAGGAGCACTACCAGACACAGTCGGGAGGAAGGAAGCAGAGGAACGAGCGGATCTGAAAAGAGACGTCCTAGTGACTCCAAACAAAAGCGTCATCGAAGCAAGGGCAAAGCGGCAACGACCATACCGCCCCTCAGCGGCATGCAAGAAGGAAAACCGTAAGCCGGCGCAATCAACGAAGGAGACATTAGGTATAGAACAATTGACAGAAGATAGACACATGTATACCGGTAGCAATGATTTAGTCATCCAGCACCTTTTAGCCAATTTGCCCCAGCTAGCCAGCTAGCTACATATCAATGGTACTGGCAGAACGTCCCTTTTTTGCCTCGACCTGGCTCTTCCACCCCGACGAGGACCCGCCACAGTCACATGGCGTGCCAAGCTGATGCATCGTCGGCACCGTCCGTATCGATCCATTCGCAGGGCAGTTCTATCTGCGGAAGAGTTGATGGCGCCGCCCGAAATATTTCAGCTCTCTTACGATGATCTGCTGGTCTCGTATCACGCTTGGTCATCTTGGAACGAAAACCACCTTGGAGCTCAACCTTGGACGTTCGAGAGGAGTTACTGCCAACTTCTTGTTCTTGCGTTTCTTGATTGTCGTCACCACTTCCAGGCGATCCTGTGCCATGTCCCCCCTGCAGATAGTCACGAAGTTTTTGTTCACCGCCAAGTGTTTCCCATCGAATCACTGCCGGAGGGAGGGGTGCCTCCGTGCCCTGCTCCTTCGCAAAACGTGACGACTGTGGCGAAGTCTGCAACACTTGCCAAAAGTACATTCCTAGAGTTAGTTGATTGACTTGGTGTTGTGTTTGTTGAAAGTTTGCTACGTATGAGTGAGATTGGCCATCATGTTGCAACTGTTTCCTACTGTTCTTTCTTGGGTTACGACTTTCGAAGCACCAAGCATCGCTTGTCGGCAGACATGCTTGTTTCAGCTACGGTACTGGTAGGAACTTCCGCCTCCCCCAGAAAGTTTGATTGTATTGACGAGTCACAGTCGACGAACTCGACTCGACTCGACTCGACGACTCGACTCGACTGAGGACTCGTCACTCGTCACTCTCACTGCAACACATTCGATTTCATGATTCGATTGAATCGATCTCTAATCATTCTCCATAATAAAAAAGCAAAGCTGTGCACGTACCACGCGTGAATAATTCAATCTTATTTTTAAAATTCAGGCCCAATCGGCGAGAGTCGAGTCTCAATCTCGAGTGGATACCGTACGGTACCGGCGCTGGTAGGACAGGTACGGACGGACCACTCTACTTTTTTAATTAAGCTAATCAGGCTGGTCTACTTCTCGATTCTCGATCTTCTCTGCTGGACTCAAAACTTGACAACTTCCAAGGAAGTTCGGTGTGACGCACTAGTACTGGATCTCTGCCACGTCTTTACTTTCACGTTCTACTTCCAAAAATTATTTCACCCTTTGAAGTACTAGTACTACCTGGTAGTACAGTCGTAAGTGTTTTGGTCATGTTATCGGAGTACCGGTACTGGTACCGTGTTTTTGAAACTAGGTTTGGCTGATTTGTTGCGGAAGATCTCATGGAAGGATATTAAACTTCAAACCATACCGAGCGCCGACAAGCGGCGCTCGCCTAGAGCAGCACAGCACGACTAGTTGAGTAGAGTAGTAGGATAGGGTGGTGGAGAGACTCGGCCATTTACTGAGCCGACCGTCTCCGCAACCCAGGGGTGCCGCTCGTGATTGCTAGAATCCCGAGCGGGAACCAAGGCACGAATGAGGCAGTCCCGCGGGATGTGAGTCCCGCGTGATTGTGCGGCATTCGGCCAACCCAGGGAGGGAGAGGTGGGTTAATCTATTCTAGTTCTAGCTTGCAGCTCGGCTGAAGGAAGAATTGTGAGCAGAGAAGGAGACAACCTTCTTGCGGTCGACTGTTCAATGGCTGAAGGAGAGAGTTGGACCGGTCTTGCGTGTTGTGTTCATTCAAGGTTGCTATCTGTGAGCGGTCTTCGTAGGGTGCTATTGCCTTAGAGCCGATCTTGCGAAGAGGCAGACATAGCGACATGTATGTGGGGTATCATTTCAGGAACGCAGGTGATGACCTGAGAGATGTGAGATGTACTTGATGTGTAGAGCGAAGTGTGGGAATCGATTTTGTGTTTTGTGAGATGGTACAGTTTGGCAACTGTGAGTTGAGTCATTCGTCGAAGAACCCATGAGGGTTCAGGTTTGCGTGTAAGAGTAGGGATCAGGATCGTTGTCCTCTTTTGCGTGCGGCTGCTCGACAAGGAACATCATGTCGTCCAGCACCAGGCCAAGTACAGAACCGGTATCGTGTGAATGATAGAAGCAATGCATTGATTCTGCTGAGAATGGACCTGGTTGCTGGTGCACCAAGAATAAATTGGAGGCCGTCGAAGAGGCCACCACACGGTCTAAGGTTCGTACGGTACCGTACTGGTATCCCAGGAAGTCCTGATAGAACTAACTGAGTTCCAAAGAACCCAAACTATTTGGTAATGGTAAGATGCATCTGATAGACTTTCAATGAATTTGACAATTACCATTCCTGTCTAGCTAGTACCGTACGCATGGCTGTAGCCGCTAATTAGACCGCAGGTAGTCGATTGGATAGTTTCCAATGAATGAATGAAGAAATCAAGTAGTCCCTCATGCAGCTATTTTCTTGCGTTTTGCGGGGCCCAGTGAACAGTTTTTGTCCCACATGTCTGTCCAAATCCAGAGAAATCTCAAGGATTGAGATCCGATTCAAATGTTTTGCGCCCTGTTCCATCTTGGCAAAAGTTGCCATTCAATGTCTTTCCGCCGGAAATGGTCCTGTTGTTGGTGACAAAGCTTTGTTTGATCACAGGTCCAACTTTTGTTGTGAATTATTGCTTTTGTCTCACAGCTAGAAGTTGAGTGGTGGCATTTGTCCAGCTCCTTCTTTGTCCTTGTTGGCCACAATTTCATCAATCCATTGATTCATCATGCTTTCCATGGGGCTGTTGTCTAATTTTCCCACCAGTGGATACTTGTCGTGCAACTGGAAAAAAGAGAGCCATCGCTTTCCTTCATCAAGTTGTTTGTCGGACAGCTCATCAACGTTGCTGGCCAGGCATTTTTCTGTTTTACAGCCTGTACTCAGTGCATATGTGACATCTCGTCCACAAAACATGCTGTAACTGGAATCGGGTCCATAGAATTTGGTGCCCTTGGTCACATCGTAGATTCGTCCAAAAATGCTCAACAGTAGTTTTCGTGGTTCATCTTCTTCCGCATCTTCAAATTCTTCCACGTTGCCAATTTCCCATAATTCGTCCACGGTGTATGTGGGCAAGTGGTCTTCCCGTTCATCGACCCCCAGCAATGGATCTTCTTGTTGCAGCAGAAAGGTCGTTAGAGCATACTCATTGCTCCCGTAGCGCCGTTTATAGGCCTTGTGTCGTCCAATGTCGCGAAAGAGTCGCATGAAAAACATGTTGATACTGTCCTGGTTGAAATGCACGGCTGCAGTGGCAGTTGCCACACCAACCAATGCCCACACCAACCAACCGGGAAACGAGACCATTGTCTTGCTATTCTTACGTCAAGATGCTTAGGCTTTCGTCTTGTACGGTAGCGAAAGGGAGATGGATTATGCGCCGTCACAACAGATCGTGCAAAAGACAAAGAAAGCACGGATCTTTGTGCGGTGTCGCGTCTTGACATTGTACAGCAAGGTCCTGAAACGGGATTCAAAGCATTAGTTTCACGGAAATGTTGGTTTCACCGAAATGTTAGTTTCACCGTTTCGAGTTAGTTTCACGGAATTTCCGTGAAACTAGTTAGTTTCACGGTTTTAGGTTAGTTTCACGGTTTTAAGTTAGTTTCAAGCTTTCAGTCGTGTTTACGTTGATTTACTATGACAGATACTGTGATAGTTTCACGGTTTTTGGTTAGTTTCACGGTTTTGAGTTAGTTTCACGGAATTTCGGTGAAACTAATTAGTTTCACGGTTTTGAGTTAGTTTCACGGAAATCGCTCCATTTCCGTGAAACTAACATCAGTTTCACGGAAACAGTCCCATTTCGTGACCTTGCGTACACCGCCTGGCTCAAAATAATGATTATCGATTGATTCGATTTGGAATGATTCGATTCGACTCAGTCGAATAGATCTACACCGCTCAGAAGGCTTCCCACATTGGTGAGTGACAGCAGAGTGAACAGTCGAGTGACAGTCGACGATGGCAACTTTAGTTGTAGAAAATCTACCGTACAATCATTCGATTGATCAATCTGTGCCAATAATAAAAGGCTATTTTAAAAGGTTCCCTGAATAGGAATGTCCCACCGTGCCGATAGCATTGGGGTGGAGATCGCTACTGAAGTACAGTGTATCGGTACCGGTAGCTATCTGGGTATCTGTACCGGTGCTGTCGGAACAGGAGCCACCAGCTCGGCACACGTAACTGGTTGTTGAAGGGTCATTGAGTCGGGTATCTGAGTTCCTCCTTTCCCAAAACTTCCACAAGAGGACGCCGCCAAGCTAATCAAGATAATCAAGAGGGAAGAGGAGGAAATGCAGCTTTGAGACTCCTAATACATGTAATGCCTCTGGCTCATCCAAGCAATTGCTGGCTAAGACTACATGTACTAATAGCTAGTCTAGAGCTAGCGCCAGTTGGCGAGTGACGAGTCGAGTCTACTCGATGTCTGCTTGCTGCTTTGGGGGCTTTGTCAGCTGCTTTGTCTATCTTCTGGCAAGACCTTTTTTTGAGCTTGTCACCTCCATAATCCATGCATGAACGCTTGGAATGATCGCTTTCGCTTCGACTAGCTTGTAGCTTGTAGTACTGAGTACTGTAGACTACCGGTACGCTTGAAGCAGCGAGTGTTAGTAGCACGGTATTAGTCGAGGAACAGCAGCTGGAACAGCTACATGTACACGTACACGTAGACTACACCTTCTCTGTGACTCTAGGCTATGACTTAGGCAGTTCTTGAGTACTTCGGAAGAGTACTGGTACACGGGTACAGCTACCGGTACTGGTACATAGTACATTGTCAATGCATACATAGTCTAGTTAGAACTGGAATTCACGTTGAGACCCCTAAAAACATCTGGCTGGACCATTGAGAAAAAGGTGGGTCCTCAAGTACATGTAATGGCTCATGTAATATGTATCTGCTGATCCTTCTCCTACATGCACTACTAGTAGTAATATATTAGAAATAGAGCTGATCAAGTCTTTTAATTAATAGAGCAGCTCATTGGCTTTTTTATAATCCTGACGTTCCGAGCAACCAGCGGTGCATCCGATGGAAGACAACGAAAAGTTGACCATGACCACTGTTGCGTACCGGTATTGGTATTGGCTCTTCCCATGACAAGTCTGTCTATTTGATGTGGAAATCTAACTGAAACTGGCTCTATCCATTGCTATCCACTACACTACAGCCTATAACATTTACCAATCCCTACCGGTACCGTATAAGGGCGGAAGGGCGGTACCACTATGTCTAAAGTTGGAAAAGGAATCTTCGAATTTCCACAAAGGTCCTGGCAGATCGGAGATAGACGTCGGGCTCCAGCTGATCATCTCAGCTCGAGAGCCCCTGAAACGCACGCGGTTGTATTATACGTATAACATTTTCACTATGTATGCACCAGGTCATACGTATTACACGTATAACCTTTTTAATATGTATTAGACAAGTCATACGTACAACACAAGTAACACAAGTGGAACAATATTATACGTATTACATGTATTATGTGTTGTACGTGTTATACGTGTTATACGTATAATACATAGTGACGAATTTTTGCTAAGTTCTTTTGCCAGGTGTTTTGCTAGGTGTTTGGGAGGCAGAGAGGAAGATGCACTGTTGCAGGCCATAATACCTGACAGCTTATCAAGTAAAATGGACTCTTACCTATCTGAACTCTCCCATGTTGCTAGATACAATATCAATGATGAAGAATGGACTCCTGCTTCAATCATTGTGAATGTAGCAACCTCACTAACTGATGATACGCCAAAGGAGATAAACATTATGGATACTCTGGGGTTCGATAATTATCGAATGGAGAAATCGACGGTGTATTGGCTACCTTCGATGTATCAATCTTGTGATTCGGCGCATATTAAAGAAGTTTTGATGCCATACTTTGTACTTCCTTGCAAGACTGCTGGATTCCGTATCAAAAACAAGGGATTCGATAAGAGGCGGAATCACATTACCATATGTTGCCCAAGGAGTTGTTTTTACAAACAAAGGTCCCAAAAGGAGAGCAACAAAACCACCCAGATTCAGCTTCCTGTTGAGGGGGGGGGTGTCAAATGTCCATTCTCTTTCAATGTTCTATATAGCCAGGAACATAGACGATGGTATCTACCCAAGTTCCAGACAGGCAACAAGCTTCATCGTGGCCATGTACAACTGGAAGAGGCACAAGTGAAAGTGTTAAGTACTCATTTTGGCACAGAAGCCGTTACACTAGCAGAACAATGCCTAAAGAACCATCTCTCGCCAAGTGTTGTTAAGACTTTACTTCATGAACGGACAGGCTCATCTCTAAATTCGAAACAAATCGAATCTCTAAGGAAGAGTTTGCATCAAGGAGTGGTCTTGTCTTTGGTGAAGCCAAGCGGTACCATCTCTCAAGTATCACATCAGGAGGCGACAGTAGCAGATAGGCTACTTGCCAGATTGCAATCCGACCCAACAAAATCGTTCGTTGTCCTTTTTGCCTCATATGACTCCGGCCTTCTTCGAATCAGACAATCACATAGGGGAGCCACACCTCAGAACATTGATCCTGAAGCACTGACAGATGAATCTGACAGTGCTGAATCCTTTGCGAACAAAGTAAGAGAGGCTCTATCCATTACAGGTTCCGGAATGATTTTGCTTGCACTTGCCTGGATGAGTGAAAGTTCCCAGAGATTGTTCCAAATGTATCCCGAGTTCAAGTCTGGTGATATCGCCTACAAAACAAACTCCGAAAAGAGGGAATTGCACATCGAGTCTGGGCTAGCTGCCGATGGGCAGTCGTTCAGCCACACATGGGCATTGTTCCCGTGTGCTTCAAAGTGGATATTCCAGTGGTTCTACCGAAATGCTATGCCCCGACTTCATTCGGCCAAAACTCTGTCAAGAGTAGAAGTGGCTGCCTACTATGATGAAGATGAGAAGTGTTACATGATGTTCCAACAACAGACAGGTGTTGGCAAACCATTCACAAATGTTGTAGTTCAGCTTTGATATGTATAACACGGGTGATACGTATAATACATGTTACACGCGTAACACGTGTTACACGCGTAACACGTGTTGCGCGCTGAGGTACTTACATGGGTTCAGTACTGGTGCCTACAGAAAGTGGTTGACAATGGTAGAATTCAAGGCCAGGTCTTCCACAGGCTTTGTCAGTGAGCCTTCAGAAGTATATGAATGCAAAGAGAATGGTTCTGAAGGCTGTACAGGGCCTGAGGAAGAGAGTGGAGGCAGAAAAATGGAGAATGAGTTGAATGAAGAGAAATCATTCTATCTTTCCACAGGAACAGTCTTCTTGGCTTCAACAAAGCCATACCACATTGCCTACTTACCCACAATGATGGTGCTATCTTCAAATAACAAGAGAAACCTTTGTATCCTTCAAACAAACAAGAGAAGAGAGGTTGTTGTCATGGTGGTTCTTTGTGGTGGAGATTGGAGTTGAAGTCATTTTGCGAAGCCAACTCGAAGGGTCACGGTGGCTGGCTGGCGCGCGTGTTATACGTGTTATACGTATTCTACGCGTAAGATGTGTTAGACGTGTTATACGAGTGATACGAGTTATAGGAGTTATACGAGTGATGCGAGTGATACGTGTAACATCGTGTGTGTTTCAGGCTACGGATGGCCCAACAGGGAGAATGGCCCAACAGAGAGAATGATTTGTCGGAAGTGGGGTAAATCATGGCAAATTACCCTCAGCCCCAGCTCCAGAACTCCCTTTTCTGAAGAAATCCATTTGCCATCATCACAATGAGTTGACAGATATACCTCTAGCAGTTTAACCAATAGAGCCACCCTATCAACACCATGAGGTAGGGGATACATAATTTGGATATGCCTGTCGCAGTGGTGGTAGTGGCTTCTCCATTTGCTGGTTGTTGAAGCAACGAACGGCTGGCAAACTTAGGCAGCCACTTTTCGGCAATTTTTGCTGCCCCCAACAGGCTAGCAATCTCTGACCCCACAGCATGCCCCGTTTGGTCCAACCAATAGACATTTTCCTACATGTATGCATCCAAGGAAGTCTGGCAAAGTCTGGAGACATGCAAGTGATGGACTAACATCATCATCGAGGACTAAAGAGGAGCCAGCCATCCTACGTCGACAGAAGATGCGCTGTCGAACGGCAGACACGGCCGCTGTTATAGTACGTCAAACAGAATGGAAGAAGAGTCGACCAGTGCTATTGTTGTTATCGATAGTATCCACTGGTGGTGCCGTATGGTAGAGTCGAGTGACAGTCGTTGTGAGCACTTGAGAATATTTGGAAGAAAAATGAAGCACCTGGTTTGACGTAAGATAATGCCTTCCACATGACTGTCACCACTACAACCAGCACATGGCTGTGACAAGCAAAGAATGTAGATATCTCTAGATAGTTAGTTTGGTTGTGTATGTGC